CTTAACCACGCCCCTTCCAACTGTCAGTTTAGACGACAAACAGAAAAGGTGAGCTGAAGGAGTGTGTTAGGTTGTAATAACCAGGGCCGGAGGAAGCTGAACTGCCGCTTTAGGCAAAGGACGGTCTCGCCGCCCTCAACCCTCAAGTGAAAGCGGGGGTGGTGGGGGGGTGAGCTGTCACAGGCGCCGCCCTCTCTATTCTGCTGCCCTAGACGCTGATATAACTGAGGGCGCGGGTGGTGAGGGTAGTGTCATGGATACCGCTCCCTCTATTCTGCCGCCCTAGATGCGGATATAACTGTGGGCGCGAGTGGTGAGGGTAGTGTCGGGGACGTCGCCCTCTCTATTCTGCCGCCCTAGGCGACTGCCTAGGTTGCCTCTATGGACGCGCCGGCCCTGGTAATAACTCTCCACAAACCCTTTTCCCTATTTTTCTGAATGAAACACCTACTTTACTACATCCAATCAGCTCACAGTAGAAAAAAACAAGCCACACCCACTGCTTTCTTCAAAAACTGTCACAATACAAAAAAAAGTGGTCGCAGCTTCTGGTTCATGCAGACTTTAACACAGTTTGAAGCTATCAATTGGATATTTTGCCTGCTGAATCTTAGTCATTGGTTTCAAATGATATAGCAGATGACCAATTGAATATCCAATTGATAGCTTCAAACTGTGCTAAAGTCCACATGAACCAGAAGCTGCGACTATTTGCTTTTTCAGTATTGTGACGCAGTTCTTACAGAATATTAATTGAGAAAACAGTGGGTGTGGCTTGTTTTTATCTAATGCAAAGTGATTGGATGTAGTAAAGTAGGCGTGTCATTTTGGGTTTGGGAAGAGTTATTACAACCTAACAGACTCCTCCTGCTCACCATTTCAGTTTGTTGTCTAAACTGACAGCTAGAGGGGGCGTGGTTAAGTGTGTTAGCCCCGCCCAATACCTCAGACAGACCTACTCCAGGGTACATGCGGAAATCTAAAGGTAATTTCAACACCTTTTTAAGACTTTTTAAAGACCTTCTCAGAATATTTTAAGACCTCATCGCCACCAAGTTTTAATTAGTATCAAACATTTACCTTAATAAACAGCTGTTAATATTACTCTGTTGTTTTCAGCGACAGGCTTCAGCCACCGTTTAAACCCGTCTTTCTCCAAACAGGAGTACGCAAACTTACATTTTCCCATTTTGCCATCTGTTTCGCTCTATGGTTTTGCTACATGTAGTCACATCACCTTCCCACATTTGTCGCAAATTATTTAGCTTGGCTGGTGGCTCGAGCACGCTGTTGTTAATCTTAAGAAGAAATTAAATATGCTGATGCTTTTTTGGAGTCACTTTGGACAACGCTTGAACAAAATTTAAGACCCCGTAAAAACATGATTAAGGGCTCTATTTTGACGGTCCATGCGCAGAGCGCAAAACGCAGGGCACAAACGCTTTCAGGGCGTGTCAGGACGCATTTTTGCTAATTTAAGGACGGGAAAATCCGCTTTGCGCCGTGGCACATGGTCTAAAAGGGTTGAGTTTATTTTCTTAATGAGTTATAGGTGTGTTTTGAGAATAAACCAATTAGAGTCTCATCTCCCATTCCCTTTAAGAGTCAGCTGCGTCACGCCAAGAGCGCATTCGCTATTTACAGGACGTAAAGTAAGTCTAAGTGGAAAAAAATTAGCATTTCACAAGCAAACAGTTCACAGTTAACAGTTTTTTAAAAGAAAACTGTTAAACAGCATCTACTGCGTGAGAATCTACATGGATCTACTTTCACATTCGCTCTTGTAATAAATAATTCTATAAATAAATACTTTTGTTTGTTAAGCGCAAATATTCGTTTCAAAACTATTTCTAAATTCAGTTCTAATTTCCAGCAAACGAATAAATGAACAATAATAACAAAGTGTGCTCAAAAACCTGAGTTATATCCTAAAACACATGCTGTGCCCCATATGATCTAAAACCTGACAAGTGGGCAAATCTAAGCTTGTTTTTAATAAAACAAATATAAATATGGATATAATAAATAACACTGCTAATAATAATAACATTATACAAAAGCAAATTGTTATGAATGAACTGAAAAAGCCTCCCGAGATGAAGAAGACATAAAAGCAATGATTTTTCATATTTATGTAGGCTAGAAAATAATGTTTTGCAATATTTTAATCCTTTATATTTATATTCTATATCTATTCTTATTATATCCTATATTTATCCTTAATATTCAATGTTTTCATATGTAAAGATATTTGCCTATTGCTCTCTTGTGTGTATTAAGCAGTGTGTAAGCGAGGCGCAACTCTGCGCTGGAGTTTAGACCGGGTTTGTTTTGGTCTAATGAAAAATCTATTATAGCTTCTCCAAATAGCAACGCGCCAGCGGTCCGCCTCAAAACACCTTCCTTTTTAGACCAGAACGCCTATGAGCGCACATATGAGCGCTAATGCATTTGCTATTTAAACAGCGCAGCGCAACGCCTCAAAACAACTCTAGCGCCAAGCTGAAACTACCAAAAGACTACTGCGCTGCACCTTGCGCCGCATTGTGCCGGGTGTATGATAGGGCCCTAAGACTTTTTAATACCTTTTAAGGACCTTAATTTTCTCGTAATTGATTTATCAACTTTTAATACTTTTTAAGACCCTGCGGACTCCCTGTAATCAGAGAATTTACCTGAAAACAATCAGGAAGTGCAATTTCAGTTCTCAATTAAAGATCACAAGGGCGGACTACTGTTTTTGTCCTAATGACATGCACAGATCAATTGTTCAACACAGAACTAGCAAGGTGAGCTAACAAAATCAACATGGCTAGTGTTGATTTCATGTGTACGTGATTTGTGAACATCTTCCAACACCTGATTTGCATAAATCCTTTAGTGTTACCAATGTGAACTGTTTCAGTCTAAGAAAGAGCTATTGGGAAAGGACCGACAGCTAGATGGCATGACCAAGGAGACAGATTAAGGAGGAAATGGAAGAGCGAAAGGTAAGAAGTATGAGCGATAAGAGGAGATTAATTAATGGAGGGATGATCTGACCTTGCGGTGCTCCTGCAGGTTGAGTGAGGATGAGCACTTCTTATTACAGATGGTGCACACCAACTTCCTGCGAGCACCACCTACACACACACACACACACACACACAGATCATACATCACATGATGGCATGAGGAGATGCTAATGGAGACACTGCATCAGCTCAAAATAAACATCAGGAAGCTCTTAACATAAATCTGCTCCTGCTTCAGCATCAACTACACCAGCAAAAGACAAACACAGCTATATTTAACAAGGGTTGAAGGTCAGCTTAAGTGTATTTCCCGTAAAAAACAAAGGGGAAGTGGATACAAAATCCCTCAATAACAGTTCTTAAAGCACTGGAATTTTAAAAGGCTTTAAAAAGGCCATAATCTACACTTTGAAGCCTTTTACTTTGTAATAAATCCACTTTAATGTTAGTCCAGGTTGCTCCTGCAAAAAAAACTGTAGAAATTTAAAAGAGTCATAGACTTAAAATCTGGACAGATCTAGATGAAGCTGATTAATAAGAGTTCACTATATAAAAATGGCCACACGGTGAACCTCAAAAACCAGTGTTTCCTCATTCTCATGTAAATCCTGTGTGTAAAATCCCAATGGAAACAGCACTAGATCATTATTATGCATGCTCGAGGTTGCATTTGATTAGCCACAACATACATTCATTCATTTTCTGGTCGGCTTAGTCCCTTTATTAATCCGGGGTTGCCACAGCGGAATGAACCTTCAACTTATCCAGCAGTGGATGCCCTTCCAGCCGCAACCCATCTCTGGGAAACATCCACAAACACATTCACACAGACTCTCATACACTACGGACAATTTAGCCTACCCAATTCACCTGTACCGCATGTCTTTGGACTGTGGGAGAAACCGGAGCACCCGGATGAAACCCAAGCGAAGGCAGGGAGAACATGCAAACTCCACACAGAAACACCAACTGAGCCGAGGTTCGAACCAGCGACCCAGCGACCCTTCTTGCTGTGAGGCGACAGCACTACCTACTGCACCACTGCCTCGCCAAGCCACAACATTTCCTAGTTAATGATTAAAACAATAAAAAAAAGTTTCAGAACTTTTTTATTATTGCTCGTTCCGACCACAGTTGTTCCCAAGAGTTTGATTATTGCGGTTCCTGGATTTTCAATTATTGAAAATCGCGACGACGTGGGGCCCCCTAAACCCCCGCCGTGCGTGCCCTGCGGGCCCGTCCACTACGCCACTGACACAGAACATCAAACTCTTTCTAAACAGCGAGAAAAATCCTGTTTTCCCATGTCTTCTTTAAAACAAACACACACACACACACACAAATCATTTATATAGTGTTAAACACTTCCACAAGCTCGCAGTAAATGGTTGAGCTTTATTCTGTTTGGATCCATTTTGTCAAATGACTGATTGAGATGCACGTGGCCAAAATCTCCAGGCATAATTACTGACAATAATACTGAAAACATTCAGATAGATGCTTTCATCAGCCGATTAGGGGGTCTTTGACTAATTTCCTCCGATGTCTGCGCTTCTGGCAGAGAGAGACAGAGAGTCTGCTGAAAAGAGGAGTGTGGAGGGCGAGCGAGCGCTGAACGGTTATCTGACACACACACACGCACACACACATAGCGGATGAGGAGCGGATCAGAAAGCAGAGATTAATGAAGACGTTAAACAGTCCATGATTAGACTCTAATTACAGACGGCTAATTTCACACTCGCCAACGCGCGTATGTATGTGTGTACAGGTTTATGTGGTTTAGAAGACACAAGATTGTATAACAACACGGGTATGACTCTATTAAGGTTGTTTACGAGGACATACATTGTGTCCTCATAATTCAAAGCACTTTAAAATCATTCATGTCTCTTGTGTCCTTGTGTCAGCATGTGTACGTGTGTGCATAAGTGTTTGTGTGTGTGCTTATGTGTGCATATGCGCATATGTGTGTATATGTGTGTGTGTGCCCGCACGTTTGTGTTTGTGCATGCAAGTGTGTGCATATGTGTGTGCGCATATGTGAATGTACAGTTGTGTGTGCATGCATGTCTGTCCATGTATATGCGCATGTGTGTGTAATGTATGTGTGCATATGCTTGCGTGTAAGCGTGTGTATATGTTTGTGTGTGCATGCATATGTGTGCGTATGCGCATATGTGTGTGTTTGCGCGTTTGAGTGTGTGCATGCAAATGTGTGCATAAGTTTGTGTGCGTAGGTGTGCATGAATGTGTGTGCATGCATATGCGCATGTGTGTATATGTGCATGTTTGTGTGTGTGTGCATTTGTGTATGTTTGTGTGTAAGCGTGTGTATGCTCATGTGTGCGCATGCGCATATGTGTGTGTGTGTGTGTGCGTTTGTGTGCATGCAAGCGCATGCATATGTGTGTGTGTATATGTGTATATGTATGCGTGTATGTGAGCAGGTGTGTGTGCATGCATGTCGGTGCATGCATATGTGTGTGTATGTGCATTTGTGTGTGCATGCAAGAGCATGCATATGTGTGTGTGTATATGTGTATATGTATGTGTGTATGTGCGCATGTGTGTGTGCATGCATGTCTGTACATGCATATGCGTGTGTATGTGTGCATATGCTTGTGTGTGTGCTCATGTGTGCGTATGCACCTATGTGTGTGTGTGTGTGCATTTGTGTGTGCATGCAAGCGCGTGCATATGTGTGTGTATATGTGTATTTGCGCATGTGTGTTTGTGCATGCATGTCTGTACATGCATATGTGTGTATGTGTGCATATGCTTGTGTGTGTGCTCGTGTGTGCGTATGCACCTATGTGTGTGTGTTTGTGCATTTGTGTGTGCATGCAAGCGCGTGCATATGTGTGTGTGTATATATGTGTGTGTGCACGCACGTGCGCATGTGTGTGTGCATGCACGCCTGTACATGCAAGTGTGTGTATGTGTGCATATGTTTGTGTGTGTGTATGTATGTGTGCGTGCATATGCTTGCGTGTGCATATGTGTGCAGATGCTTGTGTGCACATGTGTGTGTGCGACTAACCTATATGGATGTTGCCTTTGTGTTTCTTGAGTGCGTCTTTACTCTTGAATCTCTTCCCACAGCTCTCCGCCTTACAGATGAAGCGTTCGTCTCCTTTACACGCCTCTTTATGCTGCAGGAAACTGAACACACACACACAACTTCTGGATTCAAATCAACTCACAATGCTGTCTGCATTTCGTCTTGCTCTTGTCATGAGACACACATCCATATGACACGCAGGAGTGCAGTACCTGGACTGTGAGCTGAAGGAGCCGTGACACAGGACACACTGATAAGCTTTAGAAGGGTCTCCTGATGAAGAAGAGCTCTCTGTACAGTGAAGGAGACTACACACACACACACACACACACACACACAGGACATCAGCATTACTGTTTGTGTGCTGTGTGAGTCTGTGTGCATTTGTGTGCGAAAGTGATTGCGTGTATGAGAATAAAATTGTGTTTGTTAGTGTGTGTGTGTGTGTGTCTGTGTGTGTGTGTGTGTATTTGTTTGTGTTTGTGTGATTGTTTCTGTGTGTTTGAGCGAGTAAGCATTACAGCACATGACACTGAGTGTGCATGTGTGTGTTTATGTATGCTTGTTGTACATACTGTATGCATGTATATATGTATGTTTGCGTGTGTTTGTTTGCGTGTATGTGTGTGTGTGTGGTACTGACTGGCGCTGCAGGGCTTGTCTGACGGGAAACTCTTTTCCGCAGGATCGACACTTAAACTCTTTGTCTTCAGCACTTCCTCTGTTGTGGAGGCTCTGGAGATGCTCTGCTAGCACGTCTTCACTGGGGAAGCTGCTCTCGCACAGCAGACATGGGTAATCCTCCTTTTTGATCATCAGCTCTACACACACACACACACACACACACACATTGGTGAACTATATGAGCTTTGCAAATAATGAACTTTCCGAGGCAGCGCCGCTCATTGCTGTCAGTTCCACAGCAGTGCACCAATCAGAAGAACTCGGAGGTGGGACAACCTTTGCAAGTTTGTGTGTGTGTGCTTATGTGTGTATATGTGTGTGTGTGCGCGCACGTTTGTGTTTGTGCATGCAAGTGTGTGCCTATGTGTGTGTGCATATGTGAATTTACAGTTGTGTGTGCATGCATGTCAGTCTATATATATGCGCATGTGTGTGTAATGTATGTGTGCATATGCTTGCGTGTAAGCGTGTGTATATGTTTGTATGTGCATGCATATGTGTGCGTATGCGCATATGTGTGTGTTTGCGCGTTTGAGTGTGTGCATGCAAATGTGTGCATAAGTTTGTGTGCATGAATGTGTGTGCATGTATATGCGCATGTGTGTGTATGTGCAAATGTTTGTGTGTGTGTGTGCATTTGTGTATGTTTGTGTGTAAGCGTGTGTATGCTCATGTGTGCACATGCGCATATGTGTGTGTGTGTGTGCATGCAAGCGCATGCATATGTGTGTGTATATGTATGCGTGTATGTGTCTGTACATGCATATGTGTGTGTATGTGTGCATATGCTTGTGCGTGTGCTCCTGTGTGCGTATGCACCTATGTGTGTGTGTGCATTTGTGTGTGCATGCAAGCGCGTGCATATGTTTGTGTGTATATGTATGAGTATATGTGCGCATGTGTGTGCATGCATGTCTATACTATATGAGTTTTGCAAATAATGACCTTTCAGAGGCAGCGCCGCTCATTGCTGTCGGTTCCACAGCAGTGCACCAATCAGAACTCAGAGGTGGGAGAACCTTTGCAAGTTTCTGTTTCCAGATGCTCAGTGGTTGTCTCCAGATACCTTCATGATTTTTTACACCATGGTAAACAATTGGGCCTTGAGTTTTTAGAAGCAAAAATCCCTTCGGTGCTTTCACACGTGTAGTACATTTCCTCTGGTCCAGTCCAAGGTTAAAAACTAGCACATTGTAACACTTTTCTGCCATTTATGAAGCGAATTATTTGAAACAAACTTTCAAGAGTTCACACTTAGCTGATGATTAATAATAAGTGTGTTTGGCATGCTGTCCTAGGAGAGAGCCCTGAGTTCATAAGATCCTCAAGCCTGGGGCTCCCTCCTATTTGCAAGGCGAGATGGGAGTTTGAGCTCAAGTAGATCTGGAGAACGCCCCTGCTGTAGTAGCTAATGAACAGATAGTGATTGCGCTTAAGAGATAACTACTTACTAGGAGCAAATCTATGGTGCCGATTTGGTTTAGTCAATTAAGTTCATGTTTTTGGACAGTGGGAGGAAACTGGGGAACCCGGGGGAAACCACTGTGAGCATGAGGAGAACGTGTAAACTCGGCACCGAAACGTCGGCTGGCTTGATAAGGACTGGAACCAGTGACGATTGCTGTGAGGCAATGGTGCTAACCACTGGGCCACTTTACCACCTATCAAGGAATGGAGGAGGAGTAGGGCAACCACTTAAAACACCCTAGCAACCGCCTAGTAAAATGCTAATTCATGCTAGAATCATGCTTACAACATGCTAATTCATGCTAGAATCATGCTAGTAACATGCTAATTCATGCTAGAATTATGCTAACAACATGCTAATTCATGCTAGAATCATGCTAGTAACATGCTAATTCATGCTAGAATCATGCTAACAACATGCTAATTCATGCTAGAATCATGCTAACAACATGCTAATTCATGTAAGAATTATGCTAACAACATGCTAATTCATGCTAGAATCATGCTAGTAACATGCTAATTCATGCTAGAATCATGCTAACAACATGCTAATTCATGTAAGAATCATGCTACTAACATGCTAATTCATGCTAGTAATATGTTAACTCAAGCTAAAATCATACTAACATGCTATTTACACTTTAAAACCACTTCAAACTTTCAGATTCGGCTTTTCAAGCCACCATAAAGTTTGTCCTCAAACTTTAATATCTAGTTTATTTATTATTTCTTTATTGCCACTTCAGTATCTTATGGCTATTTCGTGGCAAAATGGATACAATGTGATTAAACATGATAAAAACGAATTCGTATTACAATAAAAAGTTACTCAGACAAATATATAGGATAGAATTAAATAAAACTTAAAAAACTTAAATAAAAGTTAAATATGATATTTCATTTCAATTTTTGATAAATAATTAAAGGTTTTCCCTGGTGGGACCTTTTTAAAAATGTCCAAAGTTATCTCCTTAAAAAAAAAATGTCTGATGCAGGGTTCAACGCTAAGGCTTTTTTCTACTGGGCCGATCAGGCCAGTGGTTGAGATTTTTACTTGCCCTGCCGAAGTTTTCACTGGCCCCCCCAAAAAAAAAAAAAAAAAAAAAAAAAAAAAGTTTATAGCTATTTCTTAGTCACATATTTTAAATTATGTGGCAAAATTATGTCTGTGAATCTAGAATATAAACATTTTAAAAATGTTAATAAATGTAAAATTTAAAATTCAAGATTTTATGCAAGCGAGCAGTATGGAAAATGTGCTGGTATTTTATTGCAATTCTAAATTATTTTTGTAAAAATGACTAGACAAACTGATGACAAAGTTGTAACCAGGTTACGAAAAAAAAATAAGGTGCTCATCCTTACTGACCAATAGGGGCCAGTGACAATCCTGTCTACTGTCTCGAGCGTCTTACACGCTAGCCACTGGACAGTCCTTATTGTTGAGCCCTGTGATGGTATTCAAACTTCCACAATCCAACAAAATATGTTTTATGGTAGGAGCAGCCTGGCAGTAATTACACTTAGGAGGTGCTTCATTAAGTAGTATATACAAATGAGTCAACCTATGTCCAATTCAACATCTAGTATAGACAGTTTGATCATGCCTGGTGTCAAAATGATCATTTGCCAAGTGTCTTTCGTTTATTTTTAGGTTAATTTCCTAAGCAAAATTGTCCGTAGTGTATGAGTGTGAATGAGTGTGTGTGGATGTTTCCCAGAGATGGGTTGCGGCTGGAAGAGTACCCGCTGCATAAAAACGTGCTGGATAAGTTGGCGGTTCATTCCACTGTGGTGACCCTGGATTAATAAAGGGACTAAGCCGAAAAGAAACTGAATGAATGAATAAATCAAGTCAGGTAGTCTGAACAGCACAGTGATCTGCCTATGTTTTAAGTCATGTAGTGAGAACTAGGCCTTTAGAGAGCCACTGAACACACACCTGTGTCTGCACTGAGTTGTTTGCTGTCTTTACTGTTCTCGTCTTCATCTTTGATGTCCTGCTCTTCCTCCAGATCCTCCTCTTCCTCCTCCATATCACTGTCCAGGTAACCAATCAGCAGCTCCGTGTCCGTCTCGATGTCATCAACCGCCAGATAAAAGATATTCTCTCCATCCTGTGAACACACACACACACACACAGAGTGAGAGAAAGCACATTGAGATATATTAAACGGGTCAGAAAAGACGATATGCAGATTTTTAAAAGTTAAAATCAGCTTGTTATGCTGCTTGATGTTGCACTGGTGATTTAGTATTAGCTTTTTCCGTGTATCGGCAAATGGGAGGATGTTTGGGGATAAATTTTAAATCTTATTTTGACACATATTTTGGAAAATGCTTTGTCAGTTGTCAAAAATTCAACAATGCACAAATTTAAAGGCAAATTTACTACCCTTTCGTTGTGTTGGGGGCTGTTTTTGCCCCTTTGACTTCCATTATAATCACATTTATTTATTGCAAAGCCATGACTCCATATAGTCATGCATTCTTCATTGTTGCTGGTTTTCTCTGTTGGGAAGAGATACAACTTGCCATTTTGACTGTTGATTATCAGTTGCAGTGCAAAGAAAGCTTAGTGTCTGGCTTTTATATTGTGTATAGAGTGTGTGTGAGTGTGTGAGTGAGTTAGAATTACATTTGGTTGATTTTAGGTTATGTTGCAAAGTGACTAAAATTCAACGTCTGATTGACGTAATAGTGGTAACGTCAAGCCGTAACATAACTAGACGTTGATATTTGGTTGATTTTAGGTTGAACATTGCTGTGTGCCTGACCTTGGGTTCTGACATCAACCCGATTTTCATTTTCAACCTAAATGCAACGTCCCTGCGCCGTTGGGGCGTCAAACTGACGTCATGTTGACGTCCTGTGCCTGCTGGGATAGTAAACATATTAAGTGTATTTATGTGCGCACATTATATTTCGTTTTTATACAACTGATGATCAACAGTAAATATTACGTATAAATTGTACCTCTTTTGTTTACAATCAAATATGCCGTTATAATGGCGTAAATTGAACAAGTCAATTTGAACAATACACAAGGTTAAGATCACACTGCAAAAATTAGTACACCCTAATTGATGAATAATTTGGGAAAAAACTATGAAATACAATTTTGATAAAGAAAAAACAATATTTTCTCTATAATAACGATAATTTTTCAGTATATGATGCAGAGCTAAAGAGGACATCATACTGTGCCGACTTTGACCGCTAACGTGATACAATGGGAATAAACCGAATCAGATGTGTAATGGTCGAGGTGTGCTTGACACTGAACAGACAGCAGAACCGAGAGCCGCTGGGAGCTGCAATCACACATTCACACAAGATCAACTCAGCTTCCTGATTGAGGTCAAAGGGCAAACACTCCAACCCCTGTTTAATGGCCTTATCAGACCTCCACTTCCTCAAAGGTCACGCAGAAGTTGCTGTACATTATGTTCAAATCACAGTCTGAGATTCATCCGCAGGGAGATGCGGAGAGTGAGGAAACACAGACGCTGTGCTCTTGATTTTGCTGTAATGACCGTCAGATCGTTTCAAATTCACGCTGTATGAAGCAGAACTGGATGAAATATCAGCTCACGGACACAGGGGGATATCTCTGCATGCGTCTATCCATAAAACATGATCATAATGTAAAATACAATTTTATTTAAATAATTAAAGGTGTGTTGAAGAACCATAAATGACTAGCATTAGTCTAATATAAATCAAGGATGGCAATTTATTAAATAAAATAAATTTAACATAGGACGTTAGTCTTGATTTTGGATCTGCCACTATGCTGACACATGGACATTTGTAGCTCCGCCCTCTTTTGCAAAAAAAAAACACATTTGGCAAATAGTATAAAAGGTATATACAAATATACAAATGCCTTATGTTTATGTGTTGTTTTAAGGTAAAGTGTAGAATTACAACAGTAATTAACATTAAAGAGGTAGTTTACCGTTTATTAAAGTCCTGTTAAACATTTGAACATACACATGCTATTCAGCGTGTTATTACATGCGTGTAGTTACACCAGTATTACACAAGTCAATACAATGTACCAGTTTGTACATACACTGTAGTTACATACTACACATCTGGTTATCATGTAAGTTCACTGGTATAAGCGACAATATAAAGTGGGAACATTTTTTTACCCGTTATAAAATAATAAAAAGATAAATAAATAAATAAATAAATAAATAAATAAATAAAATAAAATAAAACAAAAGAAAATAAAATAAAAAACTAAATAAAATAAAAAATTAAAAAATAAATTAAAAAATAAAATAAAAAATAAATAAAATAAAACAAAATAAAATAAAATAAAACAAAACTAAATAAAATAAACAACTAAAATAAAACAAAATTAAATTAAATAAAAAACAAAATAAAATAAAACAAAATAAAATAAAATAAAAAACAAAATAAAATAAAACAAAATAAATAAAATAAAATAAAATAAATAAATAAATAAATAAAATAAAATAAAACTAAATAAAATAAAAAAACAAAATAAAATAAAATAAAATACTTTATTTGAAATAAAATTAACACGTTTAACTTTACAAATCAAACACATATTTCTATTCCATTTGTTGTTGCAATCATTTCTACAGTGAACCCTCCAGCGTGCTCCTGCATGTTTTATCACAAAATGTTTGCCTCTTTATGTGCTGATATGAGATCAGTCATTCCACAACTGCAGCATTATTCCCGTAATTCAGGAGGTGTTAAAGCTGCATTAACACAGACTGTAATAACAGCGATATTTGGTTGCTAACTTGCTGCTGAAGAGCCGTACATGAAACTCATTTAAACATTTGTGCCTACATGCATAAATGCCCTCATATCTGTGTGTGTGTGTGTGTGTGTGTGTGTGTGTGTGTGTGTGTGTGTGTGTGTGTGTGTGTGTGTGTGTGTGTGTGTGTGCGTGTGTGTTTGTTATTCATCTAAGGCTCATTACACTCCTCTTATCTCTGCTCTCTGGTGTTTTTCAAACGCTCTTCAACACTACAAGACATAACAAACAACCGAGCCCATGATATGCCTTCTGCTGTCTGTCTGCATCTGTTTCAGAGCTGCTGTCATACTCTGTGGCTCTGCTCCAAAACCTAGCAAGTGCCCTACATAGACAGCACTAGAAGGAATCAGAAGCGTGCTCCTTATGCGAAGGCAAGGAAGGAAGAAAGAAGGAAAGAACATGTACTATACTATAACTAATAACATCGGATATAATGTGAAGTAGGCATCACGGTGGCGCAGTTGGTAGCATGATCGCCTTACAGCAAGAAGGTCACTTTAGTTTACCCGTTTCGAACCCTAGACCAGGGTCGTAATGCTACATATTGCTGTAATAATGCTGAGCGCATGCTGGTTTGCACCGATAAATTAAACATAGGCTATAGTTTGGACTGTGACTCGAGTCACAGTTCAAAATAGCCTAAAGCAGGTCACACACCAGAAGCGCCGCTCAGCGAGAAGTCTAAACATAATGAATTCATCGAGAAAACATTAAGAATTTTAGAATTCTAAACATAGGTTTCTATCAGGGTACACACATCGGCAACGAGGCGCCTAGCCACGACTCAGGACACTGTTCACATTCCTGCTGCGCCACAGAGCGCCGGTTGAATAGCTTCATTTTAAATACATGCGAATGTGCGAGTCTGGTGTGCGATAGAGCTGCACGATTCTGGATAAAATGAGAGTCGCGATTTTTTTTGCTTAAAATAAAGATCACGATTTTCTCACGATTCTGTAGATGTAAATTAAAGGTATGGTAAAAACAAACATTTGGCACATCATCGATAATAATATTATGTGTAGGTCTACTGTTTTCTATAAATAATTCTATTCTATATTAATCTATTCTTATGATAATTCTGATGTTGAATTATTATGTTTGAGATATTTGCTTGCAACCTGTCATATTAGACAATTTAATTCACTGGTAAAATCAGACATTTGCCATTATCAGATTATATTCAACATTATATAGGCTGGAGTGGTTATACTGACATTGTAAACATTAAATTTCATGCACAACTGTGTGTTCGCTATGAAAGAAAAAACATGTCAAATGCTTGCCGTAATCATAACTCTAAAATGCAATATCATTTAAATTACGTGCACACTTTCGGTTTCATTTTGACTGCTAAGTGCTTGTTCATACTTCGCGTGGCTCCCAAACGATCACTCTGTGTCACAAACTGAATATTATTTACAACTGTACTACCTGTTATGCCGAGTTCAGACTGCATGATTTTCAAAGTAGTCGTGTCACAGATGTTTTCACACTGCTTGACTATCTGGGCTAGCGTTTCGTCGCTGCTTTGTTTACACTGCAAGATGGATCGGTGACAGGGGCTTTCACATTGCATGACTTTACTATTGGAAGAATCGCCGACAACTTCGTCCAAACTATGTCTCACAGCCAAAAACACGTAGTATATCTTTTGTTATTAACTACATAATGAGTGAGAAGTCTTTAATGGGGTAGAACATGTACATATTTGCTCACCTGGGTTGAAAGGGAATTAGCCATTTCTCCTCAACGTTAATAATAAACTAATTTCTTTCTGTATGAAACGTCAAACAGACACGGGTGCTCCTGAATGCTGCCAAACCTCCACTAGTTTTTCCTCCATTTCGTGGGTCCAAATAAACCGAAAATGAGCGCTTTTAACTTCTCCCCCAGCCTCCCGCTGGCCTGCAGCAGATATACACACACACACGCAAGTGAATGCTGCTCTCTCATTGGCTGTAGGCGATCGCTGATGTTATTTTCAGTCAGAACTCAATTCACACGGCATGATTTGAATCGCCGACAGCTCCAGATATTTAGCACGCCAAATATCTCACAGGCATCGGCGACTCATCGGCGATTCTCTCAGATCTCGTCGTTGATGGTTCATACTGTGTGATTGTCACCCACGTGCACGAGGCCCCGATTTGCCTGTGATTTCAGGCATTTGTCTGCGATTTCTCAAAACCTGTCAGCGAGCCGAAATGGGGGCTAAAATCACGCAGTCTGAACTAGGCATTACTCGCAACATATGCAGGTTCTGTTCACTAAAGTAGACCCGCGCACGTCTATCAATAAGTAGAGCGCGTGCGCACCCTCTCTGTGATAAAAGCTCATGGGCAGCAGCTCACGTCACGTGTGATTTCCCGATCGCGAAAACATCATTATATGACGAAAAAAATTGCATTTTAGGTGAATTATACCTTATAAATACATTACGTGATTCATTCAACATCATTTAAAGGTGTCAATGTCACTGAGCAACGTATGTGAAGCAATGAAAAGACTCGTGCAGCCGCCTTTTCTTCTCTCCTGAACTTGTAAATATGATTGGCAGAATCGTAGAAATGCTGGATTAAGATCGTCTAGGGGGTCGAATTGAGACTGCGATCTTTTAACGATTAATTGTGCAGCTCTAGTGTGCGATACTTCCAACTGTCATGTGCATGCCATGTCACGGCGCTAAGCGGCGCATCCGGTGTACGACCTGCTTTAGATCTGAGGTAAACTATTGGCTGCTGTATTCAGTATGGCAATAAATGTAACGTAAAATGGTGTTTAAACTCACATTTGTTGTAGTTAATCTTACATACAGTCTTTTTGTTACCTGGATTGCGGCCAGGTTCTTCTGCTCCTGTGAAGGGGCCTGATGGACGAAGCGAAGCCAGTTAGCATGACGAGGGTTACTAGCATCCAGGATATACAGCACATCACCTTTATTCCCTCGAACCTGAAGAAGAGCACAGACTCACGATTAAAGTGGCTTCTCAAACAAGCTCTAAACAGTGATTAAAAGTGTAATGTCCAATGAAGTAACCAACGTTATTTTTCTTTTTTATGATGTAAACACCATTCAAGACGCTTTCATGAATCCTAGAGATCACAGCACTCAAGCAGAACCTAACATTATGGCTTCAGAGCCTCTCCTATAATAGCAGATTTTTGCTCTGTTATAATGCCAAAGTCGTGCAGTGAAATGCGTGTGCACTGGATATTCCCACAGATCCATACACGTAATATTTCTAAATTTCACCTTTGACCCGTATACACAATAAATAGATGACACATTTAAAAAAAAATGTTAGGTTTAGTCAGTCAATCAATTATATTTATAAAAGGATGCACTATATTTTAGTATCATAATGGGTAGCGTTTCTAAAAACCATCGTTAGCCAACTAAGGGCGCAAGTTCCGGTGTTACAAGCATAGTTCATTGATTTGGTGTTTGCCAAATATATTGTTCCAACGAACAACCTCTAGAGCTGTAGTTAAAAGTCCTAGTTGTGTTCTATTTCCACTTATCACCCTATGCCCTATTCCTTGTAGTTAAACTGTGGTACGCAAGCTTCCTTCTTGTGGTACGCGAAGGAATCGCTGAATAATTAAAGTAAAAAAAATACCCTTTAACGTGTACAATGACACTGATGTGCTTAGTAAATTGATTTTAATAAGCTAAACCTTTTATTTTATTTACAAATGTTCTAATATTTGTTATGTATTCTATCATTTGAAGCTAATTTCCTCCCCATATTTGTAATAGTTGTTGGGGACGTATCCCGTATTATTATATCCCAATGCTGACAGGTCATTATGGTGGTACTTGGAGCAACATTTTTTTTTCTGAGCTGGTACTTAGTGAAAAAAGTTTGAGAAGCACTGCTTTAGAACATTCCAACATTTAAACTTGGATTGATAAAAAATAAATAAATAAATAAAACGTGCAATTTGCTTTCAATGTATTTTTTATAGTTTAGTTTGAGTGATCCTTAAATTGACAATTGCGCTCCGTTCGTAGTGCACTTTGGAAACATTTCTGCTATTTTGAACGCAGCCATGGCTCATGACGAAAGCTATAGGTGACCTATGAAAAGCGGAATCTACTTTACATCTCCAAAGCTTGTGAAAACAAAAATATATAGGTGATGATATGATTCATGGCATGTAGCCATGTACTAAGCAGGATAAATCACAAAATGAAACCCTTCAGTCTTCAACGGCAGTGCTTTGCTTTGCATCAGGCTGCCAATAAACCTGTTGGGTTTTGTTCTGTGATAACAACCTCCTTGATTGTACTTTATCTCTAAACATACACAAATATATACATATTAGCTTAGGAAAAAAGGGAAAAGTTTTGACTATTTTAATAAATTTAGGCTTTTTGGGTGATAGCAGTTTAAAGACGCCTCTCATATCGAGAATGAAGTCTCATGCATTGCTCAGATGTGAGTTTCTCACAGACTTCAACAGAATGTAAATATCTTGTTAGTTTTTGTAGGTCTCATCTATAAAATCTGATCTTTTTTTGTATTTTCTATTGGATTCGGGTCAGGTGATTGGCTGGGCCATTCTACAGCTTGATTTTCTTTCTCTGAAAGCATTTGAGAGTCTCCTTGGCTGTGTTTTGGATCATTGTCTTGCTGAAATGTCCACCCTGGCTTCATCTTAATCCTCCTGCTAATGCAGATGTTGGACTGAAGCAGCTGATATTCGTTTACACTGAGGAAGGACAGAGCGTTGCTAAAGAACTACTGAGAGATTTCAGCTGCTGTCTGGGCTTTCTCTGCCCAACTACACCTCCCTTTCTTCATGTGTTCAATACGTTTTTGTGTGTCATTTCATTTTATTACACATAATGTCTTTTGTAAACTAATTATTATTGTTTTCTTTGCATATATAGATGTCATTGGTTGTTATCAACATCTGGTAAACATTTTTATGCAAAATGCCTTCTGAGAAAAGTTTTTTCTCTGGAGAAAGTGGTATAACTTTTAATGAACTATCTCTGAAATATTTATATCTCTGAAACAAAAGCGATTTTTCTTTAAATAAAGTGTTAAACGTCGAGCATTGATCTTTCCACTGGAACACTGTTTTCCCAAATCTTTTTAGATGCAAATTATTACTTTTGAGGTATTTCTTGCTCTTAACTTACAAATAGCGACTTATTCTGACTAATCTTGAAAGGTAAATTCCCTGAAATTGGCTTCATCGCATGCCACAACCAGGATGAAAGAGCAGCACAGCAAAAAACTGCATACATCATAATAATTATACGCACAAGAGTGTAATTTCAGAGTGAAGCTCACTATACTTTGAGCAGAATAGTGTCATCAGGGCAGGCAGATCAATAAATCACTGCTCTAATGTGGCGGATCTGCGTTGTAATTAAAAGTTTTCATGCAGCTGAAAATAAGCGGGAATCTTTCAGGAACATGTACAGTATGTGATGATGGGACATTAGATGGGGGACGTGTGGTGTTTGTGTTCTCCTGGATGGCATTAGATGAGTTCACGCCGCTTCATCTGGGATTAATTAAGCGTCGCCTGGAGATGAGCAGTGAAGCGTCTGTCTGAACCACTTCTCTGAGACGCTCAAAACTCACTCAGACCTCAGTGATCTCAGTCAGAGGTACAAATGCATGCAGACTAAGAAAAGCCCTGTTGGAGATGTTCTTCTGCACAACTAAACAAATGGCCGAAAATAAAGTCCACTGAATGAAAGAATCAAGCCATATCAACCAAATTAAAAAGAAGCATGCGTCTAAATTAGTACTTATTACATAATTAATACAACTAATATACAAAAAATATACTTGTGTGCAACAAATGTATAGTCCCCATGGAAATAAAGTTTATTTTTTTAGATGTTATTATCAGTATGTTAGTCTTCAAGCATATATATATAAGCTAGTGTGCACCAAAACATTTACATTACAAATACACATTACATTACATTATATTACAAATCATAATGCATATCTAAATGGATCAATGATTTTTATTTTTTTTTTGCCATTTGCTTCTATTTCAGTTTTTCATCCAATGTTCTGACCAATCAAATGCTTTCTAGTGTCTGACAAGCCCCGCCTCCTTCTTCTCATTTGCTTACATTTGATGCGCTCGAGCTCAACCACTCTCGCTGGCAGAGCTGTGAGACAAAACGAAACGTTATTGGCTGTTATTTTTTTAATAGGAGGGCTACTATATGTCCTGCCTTCATCATGTTTCAGATGAGATTACAGCAAACATTGAATAAAAAATGCACATTTCAAAGCACTCTATGGGACATTTAAGATTCAGTTCAAACACTGACTTTTTCTTTGTTTGTTTGTTTGTTTGTTTGTTTGTTTAGTATGAGCAACCATTCAGGAAAGCCTAAATGTTGCAATATCGTACATTGGTTAAGGTAAAGTCTAGGATCTTGCACTGTAAGAAACGATTGAGATATGAGCTGCCTTTGAAGTGGCACAGAAACAAAAGCGCTGTGGCGACACATGCTGCAAAGCATTCTGGGTAGAGCGCTGACAGGATTGTTGAGTCTATGGTCACCCACCTCCCACATCAGCCGCGGGTCCATGCTTTCATCCAGATCACCCAGCATCCGCTTCTCACCAGCGAACGGACCAAACTTCTCACCCTGTGGATGCAGACAGAGAGAGCGTAAGAGTATTTGTGTGTGTGTGTGTGTGTGTGTGTGTGTGTGTGTGTGTGTGTGTGTGTGTGTGTGTGTGTGTGTGTGTGTGTGTGTGTGTGTGTGTGTGTTCATATCTGAGCATGATCAAGGAAAGTAAGGCTGTGTGAGATCTCTCTGAGTGTGTGTCCACAGACACATTTACACACAGATGACAGGTCTCAGGTGCAGGTCTTTCTGAACTCGTACTCTTACTTTAAATTAAAGTGTGACATATTCAGACCACATTTCTTGAGCTTTCCTCTGCTTTTGAAGATCTGGCCCAATTAAATCTGGCCAAATCAAGATGTGCAAAGAAGGCAAAACCAGAGATATGTGAATAAATCTTATGAAGAAATGTATAGTTATAATGTGCAAAATAGACCATTAAATCACTAACAGACATTAATAGTACTGATTGAAGTAAATGATCTAAATGTGTTTATTTGTGTTTTTATATTCCGGGTGAGGCATTAAACTAAACAACGTTTATCTAATTAATTAAATATTGTCAGGCCGCTAATTCCCATAATTCTGATAAGTAGCCCAAACTGTCCGTCAACAAATGTAGATTTACACATCCGTGCAGCCGTTCACGTAGACAGATTTGCCGTTTGCTCGTACGAGAGAGTGACAGCGATAAAAACAGATGCTGAATCCAAACTTGTTAAACGCCTGAATCAATATTGGAGTTAGTTTTGCCCGCTGGAGGAAGAACGACACCATGGCTGAAGTATTCCTGTTAGACAGGTAATGTTCTGTTTTAAAACAATTTTAGTCGCCAGATCTGATGTAGAGTTTGTTGTTATGAATGGGTTATATACACAGAAGTGTTGTTCAGCCGCTGAAATCACCTGGTGAAAGATTGATGTGACTATTTTCAGTCTCATAAGGTCCTTTTACAGCATTGATAATGTTTACATTTAGTTTAACAACAAAACATCAGTCAATACCGCTATTCCGCCTGCTTTACTGAGCTGAAGCTGCTTTTATTTTCACTTTGGGTCATTTTTGAACAGTGACAGCTCTGAACTGTAATTTTCCTAATTTGAAAACATTAAATTGTTTACAATCTTCTTGCGTCAATTCTGTTTCCATACCATAGTTTGCTGTAGGATTTAGTGGGATTATCTCCCACAACTGTTTAAAAAAACAGATAACGATTTCACTTCCTCCGGTGAACTGTACGTCATTACAAAATCAGCACCTTTAAGATCTGGTTTCTTTAAAAATCAATAATCTTCCCTGCCTGATTAATATATATATATATATATATATATATATATATATATATATATATATATATATATATATATATATATATATATATATATATATATATATAT